ATCCTCCTTTTGCGGTACGATTTTAGAAGTATTTGCCATTGTAAAATAGAAGAGAAGGAAATTAGAACGATATGCAGTTTGCTTGAGATTCAAAAGATTTGGAAATGAGAATTGCAAAACAAAGAGATTTTGAAGAAAAATGACAATAGGGGAAATTTTGGGCGCAAAGTTTAAGTGGAAGAAGATGGTGATACTTATAGCTTGCTGGTGTCGGTTCATAACCAGTGCTGGCCGACCAGCAACTGACAGGCATTTAATGCCTCTTTAATCGAACCGTTGGGACAGTATCCACTTGTTGCTGACGTCCTAGTCGGGTTCGTCGCTTACGTCATTACCTATCGAGACGGGATTGGAAAAGTTCATACCGTTTCTCGTCATCTTCTCTCCGAGAAATGAGGAGACTATCTATATACGGTCAAAATCGGGCTTCCCTTTTTTATGACTGATCGAAACTGGGACATGGCAGGTCGAGGTTCGACCCCATTTCATATCGGACCATGATGCGAAGTTAGATTGCCGAGTTCATGACTCAGAGACCGATCGAGATCAAGATCAGCCAAGATCAAGACCGAGCGAGATAGAGATCGAGCAAGATCCAGGGAAGCCTACCGAGCCAAATAACGGAAAACCAGAATATCCGCGATCGGGCGAGGATCGCGGAAGAAATTTCGGCACGTATCAAGAAGAGGCCGATTAATTAGCTAAATCATGGGATTTCTTACTGTATTTAGAACTGTATCAAGAGTAGGACTCCCCTACTATATAAAGGGGGGCTGATTATTTGTAAAGGGGATCATTTTCACGCAATACAAAGCAATATACTGCCATTCTCTAGTTTTTATTATCCTGTTAATTTGCTCTTATATCAACTGAATCTTCATTTGGTGGAAGGGCGATCGTATTCGAGGGCCAAGGCTATTTGATTCGTTTGGTTTGCATTTATTCCTTTTACCGTCAATTTCAATATCAATATCAGTTTATTCTTCTTAATTTGTATCAAGTTGTATCACGTATCCTTAAAATCACATATAAATTCAATTGTTATCCATTTTTAGGGTAAACGACAATCACAAATCCGTAGGAATAACTCTCAAGCTACAACTATCAATGAAAATACTGAAAACATGAAATTAAGATACGAGAGGATAACAGGAAGGGATGGGAAATTAGAAGAAAGAGAAGAGAATGTTGACATCCTTCATAACCATATTTGTCTGCCTCTGTAATATGCCTCTCACTCTGCTTTATACTTTTTTGCCTAACTAACTCTCTGCATATTCACGTCAAGTTCCACCTCTATTCCAAATGTAATCTCCCAACCTTTTTGGAGGAATGATTCTTCTAGAACCCTTAAGTGGCAGCTCCAAGTGATTATCCATTGTGTCTTCCTTGTAGGCATCCTTGTCAGCAACTAGTTCATTCACAACATTTATCTACTAACTCCATCTCAGACCTTATGTGGCAACGTTTTTATCCTTCATCGACACAATTTTCTTGCCCTACGGAAACAGTTGATTAAATACTGAAAAGGAGGTTCAGCCGATACAAAATGAGATATTATTATCCTTGTATGACGTCGTTTTATGCCCATTCCAAATCCAAGGTGAATTAGGTAGCAGTTAAGATGTAAACTGTAAAATTAATAGGTTGATCATGCTGACAATTGACATTATAGCAGTGTGGTATTTACCACTAATAAAGGATTATATTATAAAGTAAATAAGTTTAAATGTTAAGTCACCACTCATCAGATTACGTTCAATATAATATGTTAATTTTGTACATCGATTATCGAATAAAATAATTGGTGAGAAGATAATCCAGCATAACTGAGATCGATGATGCTTGTTTTGCATTTGCAATTACCTCTGAATGAAAAAAATTAAATTCATATATAAATCAATTAAGAAAAATATAAAAGAATCAATAGTTTAGATTGAGACTCGAATTTAAATGTGATAGAACTACACAAATCGTTAGTTTCAATAGGAAATTAAACTTGAATGTGATTAAATCAAATACATAACAGAAATTTGAATTGCAAATGCAAACAATATTTGAAATTTTAATGTTATTTAATCATTGTCTCTTATTACTTTATTCTTATGATACCCATTACTAATGTATTGTTATGAATTCACTTTTCAGTTTAGTATGTTAATTTAAAGATGATTGCTAAGTTAGTTATTAATTTAATCCATTTTCAATAATATTATTCAACATATGAATTTATTTAGTTGTCAGAAGTTTATTTTTAACTATCATTTATTATGCAAAGGCATAATATCTAAGTTAACACCTATACTTGCATCGATTTTTAAAGTCTTCCTCCAACTCTCGTTCTTTCCATAGATACTATGTGACTCCTTGATCATGTGATAAGTGATGTTTAGCTTAAAGTATATATATATATATATATTATATATATATATAATATATATATATATATAATATATATATATATATATATATATATATATTATATATTGTTTTACTTTTGATTCATGGATTTAGGATGTAAAATATGTTAATTTATATTAATTTGAGGCGTATATATGTATAGGAATGATCCGAGCAATCGGAGGCGGAATGTGTGAAATTAGAACCAAAACGGACGAAAACAGGAAAATGGGACATTGCAGCGCCACAGGTGGCGCCTAGCGCTACCTGTGGCGCCAAAACCAGTAACCAAAAACTTTGCAGCGCCATGGAGGGCGCCTGGCGCTGGCCAGGGCACCGGTGGCATGAATTTTCTCCAAATTCGCCCGTGGCACGGTTATTTTGGCCCTAAACCTACCCAACACGTATAAAAGCAAGACTAAACGTATTTGTGAAGGAGAGACGCCACTTTTGAGAGAGGATACACACAAGAAACATCCGGGAGCAAGAACATCTCAGATTTCTTCATCTTTTCTTAGTATTTTCAATTATCAAAACTTATGAAATTGTTTGTAAGTATCATGAGTGGCTAAAAACCCATAGTTCTGGGATTGTGATTTAGCCATGAATATTGTTGTTTATGAATTAAACTTGATTATAATTTACTAATATATGGTTGTTTCTTCAATTCTGTGATTAATTGCTTAATTGTCTGGCCAACAGTTAGGTTCTATTTACTATCTATGCTATGCTTGGGAAAGCCATGTTTAGATTAGAGAAGAATCGAAGAGAGCACGATCTTAACTCTTAGGGGAGGCGAATTTGTGGTTAGGATAGGAATATACCTAGTCACCGTGCTTAATTGAATATCGTAGTCTTAATACGTTCTTGATAGATTGATTTCATAGGAATATAGGCGTTAATATATTTTGAATAGGCGAGTAGTACTTCGGGAGAAGGCTATGAGAGCAATTATCGATTAATTAGCAACCATGAGTAAATTGTATGAGAGGGAGAGTTAAGTAGAACACAATAGGAATGGTGAATCGGTCACAACCCTGGAATATTTATCTCCATTGAATACATAACTATTATTTTATTGCTTGATAATTTAGTTATTACTTAGAATTATAATTTAGTATAATCACATTCTTGAACTTGATTTTGGCTTGACTGAATAACAATCTTGGTGATTTTAGTGGGTAGTTGATACAAGTTTCTGTGGGTTCGACACTTGACTTATCATTTATTACTTGTACGACCACGTATACTTGCGTGTGCGTTTGGGAGCAATAAGTTTTTGGCGTCGTTGCCGGGGATTTGAATGTTAACTACATTCTAGTTTTTGCTTATTTTGTTTATTTCGTCAAGTCTAACGTTACTTGATTGTTTCTCTAATCTCAGGAACTTTGATTGAATGCGCAGGTTAAGCCAGGACAGACTTCAAGGCTTTGACCCTGAACCTGAGAGGACATTTCATAGGAGGTTGAGGGAAGCCAAGGATACTACAATCTTCAGGCACTTGTTCAATTTCCTATGAACATGGCAGAGCAGGAACATATGGCTGTTCAGTAGGTGGCTATGCCCAGTATTGCTAATGTCACCTCCAGTATTCTGAAGCCCAGGATCACTGGGCACTTTGAGCTGAAACAGAGCATGATCCAGCTACTTCATGCAAATGGGCCGTTTATGGGTCTTCCACACGAGGATCCACAACAGCATATCCTGAACTTCAAATTAGTGACACTTATATCACTAACGGAGTCACTCAAGACTATGTGAGGCTCACACTTTTTCCATTCTCACTGTTGGGCGAAGCAAAGCGATGGCTGAAGGCAGAACCAACTAATTCTATTACATCATAGAATGATTTGGTAAGGAAATTTCTGACAAGGTTCTTCCCTTCAGGAAAAACTGCAAAGATCAGAAGTGAGATAGTTGCCTTCAAACAGAAAGCGGGAGAGTCTTTATACTCAGCTTGGGAGAGGTTCAAGGGGCTAATCAGAGACTCTCCTCATCACAATCAGACAAGAGAAGTATTAGCTCACACTTTCATAGAGGGTCTACATTTTGAAACAAAGATTGTGGTAGATGCTACTGCTGGAGGTCAAGTGTTGGAGAAAAGATTTGATGAAATCTATGTATTATTGAACAAATTCTCCAAAAGCAATCCGGATTGGCTAGGAGAAATGGGCAGACACACGGTACAAAAATCTGCAGGGGTTCTCGAGTTAGATGTCGTCTCAGCATTATCAGTGCAGATTTCTGCACTGACCAACCAAGTCAGTCAGATGACCATGGTTATTAACAAGCAACAAGCTCAACCAGTGCAACAGGTTCAGGTGTTTTGCGAAGTATGTGGAGAGGGTCACACGAGCGACTTATGTCCATTTAATCCAGAGTCTGTCTGCTTTGTGGGTAATGCAAATAGGGGCCAAACAAACCAATATGGGAACACTTATAATCCCAATTGGAGGAACTACCCAAACTTCTCTTGGGGTGGAAACCAAGGTACTCAGAATCAATACCAGCCTCAAGCACCTCAACAATAATATAGACCACCTCAGGCTAAACAACAAGCGAGTCCAACAAGTCACCTTGAGGAAATGATGAAAAAATTAATGGCTGAACAACAAGCCCTCACTCAAAAATTGATGGCTGATCAGCAGGCCCAAACCATAGCAATGAGAAATTTGGAGCGCCAAGTGGGACAACTTGCCAGTGCTCAAAACACTAGACCAGTTGGAGCTCTTGCAAGTGACACTAAAGCTAATCCTAAGGCATCCTTTAATGCCGTGTCGTTGAGGAATGGGACATAATTAGAAGAAGTCCAGTCGAAAAAGAGAAAACAAGTGACTTTTAATGAGAGGCCAGCCACTATAGAATCAACATAAAAAAAAACAAAGAAGTCAGAGAAGCCAGCTGAAGAGGCGGTGGCTGAGCAACCCCCACCATTGGTTGCAAGGCCACCATCTCCGTTCCCTCAAAGATTTCAGAAAATGAAGGATAACACCGCATATAAAAAGTTTCTTGATATTTTGAAGCAGGTGCAAATTAATATTCTATTGGTAGACATCTTACAAGAAGTGCCCAAATATGCAAAGTACATCAAGGACATAGTGGCAAATAGAAGGAGGTTGACCGAGTTCGAAACTGTGGCACTCACTGAGGAGTGTATCTCAAGAATTCAAAGCAAGTTACCTCAGAAATTGAAGGATCCAGGTAGTTTCACTATCCAAATCTTGATTGGTAAACATGCAGTTAGGCGAGCTTTATGTGATCTTGGAGTGAGCATCAATTTGATGTTGCTATTTGTGTTCAGACAATTGGGGATGGGTGAGCCACGCTCTACAACGGTAATCTTACAGTTGGTTGATTGCTCCCTTGCTCATCCTAAAGGAGTGATTGAAGATGTGTTAGTTCATGTTGGTTCTTTCATATTCCCTGCTGATTTCATTATCTTGGACTACGAGCCTGATCAGGAAGTCCCATTTATTTTGGGGCGTCCATTCTAGCCACGGGAGGAGATATTATTGATGTTTGCGAAGGAAAGGTGATGATGAGGGTAGGTTATCAAGTGGAGGTATTCAATCTTTATAAAGCACTCAGGTTGCCAGCCCACTATAAAGAGCTATCCATGATTTTTGTGGTGGAAAGTGATGCTACATCATTAGTACCTTATATGAGCTGTATAGATCCTCTTGAACGATCTTTGAATGGGGATGAAGAAGACAGTGAAGATGAAATGATGGGAGAATTGAGCAGGTACTGGATATATCCTGCAGTTATGTCTGTGGGTCTGGAAAATTTGAGGAGTTGGACAGGCCTGTCACTCTGACCCCTCCTAGGCCATCTATTGAAGAAGCTCCGAAGCTAGAACTTAAGCCCCTTCCAACGCATCCGCGCTATGCTTATTTGGGGAACTCTGAGACATTACCCGTGATTATCTCGTCCAGCTTGACTAACACTCAAGAAGAAAAATTGCTCAGAGTACTCAGCGAGCATAAAAAGGCTATCGGGTGGACTATTGCTGACATCAAGGGAATTAGTCCATCGTTTTGCATGCATAAAATCTTCTTGGAGGATGGACACCGCTATAGTGTTGAGCAGTAGAGGAGGTTAAATCCCATTATGAAAGAGGTCATGAAAAAGGAAGTAATCAAGTTGCTCGATGCAGGTATCATCTTTCCTATTTCTGCCAGCAACTGGGTAAACCCAGTTCAATGTGTGCCCAAAAAGGGGGGGGGGGTGACTATGATTGAGAATGAGAAAAATGAACTAATTCCTACTGGCACTGTGACGGGTGGAGAGTCTGCATTGATTGTAGAAGGCTCAACAAAGCAACCTGCAAAGACCACTTTCCACTTCCATTCATTAGCTGGGCATGAATACTATTGCTTCCTTGATGGTTATTCGGGATGCACCAGATCGTCATATGCCCAGAGGACAGGAGAAGACCACTTTTACTTGTCCTTATGGAACTTTCGCCTTCAAGTGAATGTCGTTTGGTCTTTGTAATGCACCAGCAACCTTCCAGAGATGCATGATAGCTATTTTCACTAATATGGTGGAAAAATTTGTGGAAGTCTTTATGGATGATTTTTTAGTTTTTGGGTCTTCTTATGATGATTGTTTGAAGAATTCGAGCAAGGTGATGGCCCGTTGTGAAGAAACAAATCTGGTATTGAATTGGGAAAAGTGCCATTTTATGGTACAAGAAGGGGCATCGTGTTAGGTCACAGAGTGTCTAGGAGCAGCATTGAAGTTGATAAGGCGAATATGAAGGCGGTTGAAAAATTACCTCCACCTATTTCTGTGAAGGGTGTCCGTAGTTTCTTGGGACACGTGGGATTCTATCGGTGCTTTATTAAAGATTTTTTTAAAATTACTACTCCTTTGTGCAGGTTGCTTGAAAAAGATGTAACTTTCAATTTTGATGACGCCTGCCTCAAGGCATTTGAAGAACTCAAAAAGAAGTTGGTGGATGCTCCCATTATTGTGGCACAAGATTGGTCCTTGCCATTTAAACTTATGTGTGATGCGAGTGACCATGCTGTTGGGACAGTGCTAGGCTATAGGAAAGATAAGGTGTTTTATTCCATCTACTATACGAGAAAGACTCTTGATGATGCACAACTGAATTACACCACCTTGAGAAGGAGTTTTTAGTTGTAGTGTGGGCCTTTGAGAAATTTCGGGCATACTTGGTGTGAACAAAAGTCATAGTCCATACCGATCATACAGCCATAAGGTACCTATTTACAACAAAAAGAATCTAAGTCTAGATTGATGCGTTGGGTTTTGTGTTGCAGGAATTTGATGTAGAAATACGAGATCGAAAGGGCACAGAGAACCAAGTAGTTGACCATCTATCAAGGCTGGAATACGACCATGTGGAGGAGGGTGGCCAAATTAAAGAAGTATTTCCTGATGAGCAACTTTTTGCTATAAACCAAAACCCTCCCCCATGGTACGCACACTATGTGAATTATCTTGTGAGTGGGGTACTCCCCCTAAAATTGAATCTGATGCTAGAAAGGGGTTTCTACATGATGTGAACTTCACCTATTGGGATGAACCATATTTGTACAAGCAATGTGCTGATCAGTTGATGAGGAGATGTATTCCAAAAAAGGAGGTAGAATTAGTGTTGTATGATTGTCACGCATCACCTTATGGGGGCCATCATGGAGGACATAGAACAGCTGCAAAAGTATTACAATCCGGGTTCTTTTGGCCAACTTTATTCAAGGATGCCTATGCATTTGCTAAGAATGTGACAAATGTCAGAGAATCAGGAAAAATCACAAGGAGGCATGAGATGCCTTTGAATAACATCCTGGAAGTTGAGATTTTCTATGTGTGGTGTATAGATTTTATGGGACAATTCCCATCCTCCAGAGGAAACAAATACATTTTGCTAGCAGTTGACTACGTGTTAAAATGGGTGGAGGTAATTGCATTGCCAACAAATGATGCCATAGTGGTAGCTGCATTTGTTAAAAAGAACATATTTTTGAGGTTTGGGACTCCATGTGCATTAATTAGTGATGAGGTGACTCATTTTTGCAATCGGTTTTTGAATAAACTTCTAGCTAAATATGGAGTTCGCCACAGAGTTGCTACAACATATCATCCTCAAACAAGTGGGCAAGCTGGGGTGTCGAATAGAGAAATAAAGCAAATCTTAGAGAAGACGGTTAATGTGAATAGAAAGGACTGGACTGCAAAGTTAGATGATGCCTTATGGGCGTGCAGAACTGCATATAAAATGCCAATTAGGGCGTCCCCTTATAAGCTTGTTTATGGGAAGGCATGTCACTTGCCTATTGAACTTGAACACAAAGCGTATTGGGCTATTAAGAAGTTGAATATGGACCTTGACGCCGCGGGTGAGAAAATACTCCTGCAGTTGAATGAATTAGATGAGTTCAGGCTGCACTCGTATGAAAATGCGAAGCTTTAAAAAGAGAAGAAAAAGAGGTGGCATGACAAGCACATCAAGCCGCGTCACTTCGAGCCAGGCTAACAGGTATTACTGTTCAATTATAGGCTAAGGTTATTTCCTGGAAAGTTAAAGTCGAGATGGTCAGGCCCTTTTGAGGTAGTGAGAGTTACTCCTTATAGTGCAATTGAGCTGCGAGCTTTAGATGGTGAAAGAAAATTTTTGGTGAATGGACATAGAGTTAAGCACTATTGGGGAGGAATAATTTATCGTCAGAAGACCAAAGTTATACTCGCTGATGAGTAAGCGAGACTTTGCATCGTGCCGCGACGTTAAATCAGACACTTGTCGGGAGGCAATCCAATTTTTATTGCTTTCATAGTTTAGCTTCTTAATTTTTTTACTAGAGTAGAATAAAGTGTGCATTTTCTTTGTAGGTATAGAAATTATAAATATAATGGTGCTGGACGCGTAAATTGAGTATATAAAGGATCGGGAGATCGGGATGCATAAAAAAATGATATTCCTCTAAAACGACGCCCAGGCCAACGCCCAGCTCTACCTGGGGCGCTGAAAACAGTGTTAAAAAATCCCCCAACTCCAGGCATAGCATTGAGCGTTGAGCTGGGGGTTATCCAGGTAAGTTATTTTTTTTTATTTTTTTATTTTCGTTTTTGGTTGTATTTAATAATCCATACCCATTTAACCCAACCCAAGTACCCATATACACTAACATTCCGACCCATCCTAATACTCATACCCATTCCAAACCCAACTTAACCCATAACCCAAATTCCAAAATCAAAACAAAAATAAGACAAACGCTGCTCTCTCTCCTTTCTCAACGATTCTTCTTCTTCTTCCTCAAAAATTTTCTCAAAGTTTTTCTCTTGCTCTCCTTCTCAAGTCTACAGGTATGTTCTTCTTCTTCTTCTTCTTCTTCTTCTTCTTCTTCTTCTTCTTCTTCTTCTTCTTTTCTTTTTGTGTTTTCAACAATGCACATCTCATCTCCTAAGTGCCCTAATCCCCAAGTTTTTTTTTCTTTTTCCCCATATGTAGTTCTTAAGAAATTTTATGGTGGGTGGCTTGAAATTGGTCAAAATTGTGTGGTTATTGTGTATACGGAGTAGTAAACTAGAAGTCCCTCTACTTCGTTTAAATTTGGGAGGGCCACCATGTTCCACCATTGTTGAATTAGAATGCACACACTTTATCCCCACAAGGTGTTTGTTTTGTTTGAATGAAGACTTTGGTGTACCGGTGATGTCTTAGTAACCAAGTATATGTGTGTATGAATTTGGGCTAAGTGTGGGATATGTGGGGAAGATTTTACATGCCAAGGAGCTTAGTTTCGATGCAAACATGTTCCTACACCATCTATCTTATATATTGTATGTTGTAGAATATTGTAAATTTAACTAATTAGAGTAGTGCAGTAGTTGTGAAAAGGTGAGTAACATATACCTCTTGCTTACATTAAGGTGAATTCACTAAGCCATGATCCATCACTTATGTGTGTGGCATTGATTAGTGCCTCTTTACTATTGTATGGCATGGAGAAGTCTTGAGTACCCATATCTTTGGAGTGCAATACTTGTACATGTTAGATAAAAAATTGTGATGTATTGTACATTGTGCCTTCGGTTTAAAGTGTGGGGTCATTTCATGACTTGCACGACAACCTAGGCATATTTCTTGATGAGTTCTCACATTCATGCTTATTTGTGTTGCGGGATATTATGGCTCGTGATAGTTCTAGCAAAGGCAAGGGCATTTAAAAGTCCTCCACCACTTCCCCCGCACCCAAAAAGCGAAAGCAGGGAGAAAACACTTCGCGGCAATCCAAAGGAAAATAGGTTGCCGAGGGATCTCAGCAGGCGCCATTGAGACCGAGGCCTCGCTTGGATTTGGTCAATGATGCGGCTATTACATGGCACAGGGACTTCGTGCCATATGAACAATACATCTTCGAGATGGGAATTAATACCAAGGCTTTAGAAAGAAAGTTCCCGGAGGTACTTGGCAGGCTACGCGCACTAAATATGAATAAGTTCCTAGAATGCCCCGGACATGCAAATCTGAGCATGGTTCGGGAACTTTATACCAACTGGGATGCAGGATGGGGCACTTCATGTGTATGGGGGAAGAACGTGCCACTAGATAGAGAGTCATTATGTGCATATTTAGGGGTTGAGAATGCTGACCCGAGGATGCTCTAGAAATTTGTCCGAAGCCCAAAATACATGTTGATACGTCACACTCTTTGTGGCGTGGATTCAAATGCGAAGTGGACCAGGAAACAAGGTGACATTCACCTTTCTATGGTTCGCTCTGATTTCAGCAAGGCTGCCAAAGTGTGGCAGAATTTTGTGCAAGCCAGCCTCATGCCAGTGGAGCACATCAGCGACTGCACTCAAGCTAGAGTGTGTGGCATCTTCTTTTTGATGACTGGCAGACCCATTAATGTGGGTGAGAGTATGCTCGGTGAGATGGCCCGCACAAGAATTGGGAAACGGATTAAGAGGTTCTTCTTCGGCAACTTACTCACATAGTATATGCTATTCCGAGGAGTGCCAGAGTACCCAGGATATGATGAGGTGGTGGAGGCACCGTCAGGGCTCTTGGACATCACAACTCTCTTGGAAATATCGCCAAAGCTCACTCCAGCAGCAAGGATTGAACGAGACGAGAACTTCAATAGGTACCTCTATAACTCTTTGAATTTACTTATGAGCAGGGCTGGTATTTCAGACGAGAAGCGCTTGTATTTATGCAATGACTTGTCGAGCACGTCCAAGGAGATGTTGGGGATTGCACCTGGCAGCCCCGTTCATTCGTTGGAGGATGCAAACTCTGTCAAGGTCTCAGACACGGAGGACGAGGTTGGTGATGCTGCTATGGGGACCATGGCTTTGGTGCCTCTAGGACCGGATGATGAAGTGCCCAGAGCTGCTAATGGAGGGCATGCTGCGGAGGAGGACTCCAACTGACAGGGAGTTTTTCTTTTCACCCTACTCTGTTTTATATTTTTATATGCATCGAGGACTATGCATGCTATAATTGTGGGGTGGGTGGAATACTACCTGTGATGTAGTTGTATATCTTGTACCAATTTGTTTTAATTTATTTCTTTTTAATTTGTCTCTTTTATTAGTTATGCTTAGTCTAGTGTTAGTTTAGTTTTTTTAAGAAAATAAAGAAGAAAAAAACAAAAGAAACAAATAAAAAATAGAAAAAAAAAGTTAGAAAAATCTCGGACCTTTTCCAGACGATGGATCTTTTGGGCAATTTTCTTGAGGGATAAAGTCCAATTAAAAACACAAAAAGTTTTTTTTTAGGATAGTTAGGTAGTATTTCTTGGTTTTTCTTTGGACGCCGGTTCTTTTCCAAGGATGTAGCTCGAACCGGGTACTTTTTTTTAGGAGTAATTTAGGAAGAAACTGAGTTGCTCTGAGATACTCATTGACATGGTTGATGCTGGAACATTAGGCTATGACATATATTTTATCTTCCCGTGTATTTGGTTTGTATTGTGACGTCTAAGTAAAGTAAATAGCCTATTGTGTGACGTCTTTTCTCAGTTGTTTGACTTGTATGCCACATAGTGCAATATTGCTTAGTTTTCTCAATTATGTGTGCTTGCTTGACTTGAGAGTTGAACAAAACCGTTATGAGTGAGTCTTGTGCAATGTGTGTGTGAGGATTTGTGATCTTGTGTGCTATCCTGTATAGTCTAGAGCTTGCCCCGTGTGTTAATCAAAGCGAAATTGTAAGTTGTGCTAATCTAGGAGATAACGTAGGTGTTTCTTGTTTGGTTATCGATGTGCTTGTCACATAAAAATAAAATTTTCGTTGCTAGCCCCTTTGAGGCTATAGACCTTTCTTTTGGCACCCACATTACAAGTCATACCCCGATTTTGTTCTTAATTTGATATTGATTGAGCCTTTACCTCCTAAGGCACTTAGTCGCTAAAAGAAGTAAGGTTAGAGATCGGGGAATATTTTTTGAGTGGAACCATTGAAGGGCCCATTGGTGCATTAAATTTGAAGTCAAAAGTCACTAGCTGATGAACTTTAATGTATAGAGTGTGTGAAGAAAAGAAGAAAAAAAGAGAAAAAGGGAAGAAAAAGAAAAGAGAAAAAAATAGTAAAAATAATGTAGAAAAACACACGCCTCCAATTCTTATTAATTTGTGCTAGTGGGAATGTAGAAGTGCTTAGTTGAAAAGAGGGCTATGTTGTATATGGTTTGTGGCAAGTGAATTGGTTGAGAAGAATATGTGCTTGCATTGTGAGTGCAGTCTATTAAAGTGATTAGGAAGGTTAGTCACTATTTCTAAATATATCATACCCGTTCCTTAGCCTACATTACAACCATAAAGTCCTTATTGATCCTAGATTTGGCTAGCTTGAATTAGTAGAGATATATACTACGGGCAAGCTTATGATACGACCACAGGATACATATGAATTTCTTCAATATATGTATATCACCTCATGTTTTACTTTTGTTTCATGGATTTAAGATGTAAAATGTGTTGATTTATATTAATTTGAGGTGTTTTTATGTGTAGGAATGATCCGGGAGCAATCGGAGGCGGAATGTGCGAAATTAGAGGCAAAACGGATGAAAACAGAAAAATAGGACATTGCAGTGCCACATGTGGCACCAAAACCAGTAACCAAAAACTTTGCAGCGCCATGGTGGGCGCCTGGCGCTGGCCAGGGCGCCGGTGGCATGAATTTTCTCCAAATTCGCCCGCGATACGGTTATTTCGGCCCTAGACCTACCCAACATGTATAAAAGCAAGACTAAATGTATTTGTAAAGGAGAGATGCCACTTTTGAGAGATGATACACACAAGAAATATCCGGGAACAAGAACATCTCAGATTTCTTCATCTTTTCTTAGTATTTGCAATTATCAAAACTTATTTAATTGTCTGCTAGTATCATGAGTGGCTAAAACCCCATAATTCTGGGGTTGTGATTTAGTCATGAATATTGTTGTTTAACGTTGACTTAAACTTGATTACAATTCACTAATATATGGTTGTTTCTTCAATTCTGTGATTAATTGCTTAATTGTCTGGCCAGCAGTTAGGTTCTATTTACTATCTATGCTATGCTTGGAAAAACCGTATTTAGATTATAGAAGAATTGAAGAGAGCACGATCTTAACTCTTGGGGGGGGGGG